TGTAGATCTTAAGAAGGTATTACAAATCATAAAACAAGAAAGGACCTTCTAGTTACAAGTAGACTTATTTATAAGCAATGTTTCAGTAAAATCTCTGCAGGGAAAGGCCTAATTGCTCTTAGCCTTTTGAAATTTTTACTACCTCTTGGATGTGTATCTTATATGTAGAGTTCGAACTCGAAAATGATTTTCAGGTTAGGAAGGTTCTCTCGTAAGTATTCCAGTGCAGAAGATATTTTATCTAATACGTTTGATCTAAAGCAAAAAATTTGAATTCCGACGCGAAAGTAATCTCCTGATTGCGACCTCGTCATATTTCAATTCGATTAAAAATTAATTCTATATGTAGAATAGAAGTATGAAACGTTCTAGTCTAAGATTGTTTATTTTTTGTATTCAACGACTTACCTGTATCGATAAAATCTCAAATTGATAAATATAAATCTATCTTTCAAAGGTAAAATTCGATCATCAAGTAAAGATGGTATTACGGTAACATTAGGTAATATGAAATGAAATATTTTATTTTTATAAAAACAAAATATAATAAATTCTTTGAATAGATTTTTTTGATGATATTCTTATTCCGTCGACTAAACTTCAACATCCATCTCGATTTATTGAAGCTGAACAAACATGGGCATGGCAATATGAAACTGATGATGAAACACATGATCTTGTTATGGATATTGGTGAAGAAATTCGGTAAATAATATATCTATGTTTAATTCTATTGTTTGATTTTTTTTGTTTTTCTTTTTCCATAACTTAGTTTTCGTGTTGTACAAGAAATTTTTGAAGATACAGCACCAAAAGAAATGCCAAATAATAATGGATCAATAACACAAACTACTAATGATGATGATAAAAAAGTACCTTATACAATAATTGGTTCAATATCAGAACCAGGTCTAGGACTAAAATCATGGTGGATTGAAACATCTTGACAAAAACTACGTAATAGATATGTTTTTTTTTTCTTTTTTCGATTGTGATTGTCTAAGTGGGCGTCAATTTTGTCATTAAATAAATATTTGTTCTCTCTCATAACTATCGTTCAACAAAGCTCTTGTTGTTTGTTTAATCAGAAAATGTCAACGATTACTCGTACATAAGTTTATCGGTATGTTTCGTTAATGCTACAACTATCGATCGTATAACGAAAGAAGTAGGAACAAAAAAAAAGAGCGAAAAAATTTTCTAGTATGTGCGTGTGTGATCTCTCTTGTTCTTTCTCGATTATTCAAAATTGATATCAACGTGTCTGTTATAATCTCTTATTGGCCGAGAAGGTGACAACAACATTGTGAACATTAAATGCCTTTTTTTTCTTACAATCATTTGATATTTCGATGAGACGAGATGAAATACTATTATTTAATGATTTTTTTCTATATTTTCATGGTTATCATGATTTCAAATATAAATGCATGTGATGTAATGGGTTCACGTGCATGTGGTCGAAAACCTGAAAAAGAAGATCGAGAAACAGATCCAATTAAATATTGTGTTGCATCACGAGTTTATTTTGAATGTGTTCATAAAAAATATCGTGGTTGTGAAAATAAAGAAAAATATGAAACAGCTATGGAATCAATTATGAAAGGTAAGTTTTGAATTTTTCAAAGTTTAGATATATATAGATAGTAGATTGATATAAGATTAAATCATAAAAATCTTTTCCTCTATTATTTAAAGTGAGCTAACAAAAATATCATCTCGTATATATCGAAATGATGGTAGAAAAAAAAAAGTCTTGCTTAGGAAATCGGACACTTACTTATGAGAGTATTTACTCGTAAAAAATTGATTCCAGAAATATGTTGGATAAGATATTTTAAATCGAATAACATTTAGTGATTTTTTGAAACAGAAAAAAAATAGCATTATTATTTTCGATATCTTCTCATTCAAAAAGTCATGTTATTTCTTTCTTTCTAATATTCGAAAGCTATTATCAGGCACGTACTCAGAAATTTTCTGAGGGGGGGGAGCGATTCCCATGCCCCTCCCACCCTTCGGTACATGTCACGCTGTTATCAGAACTTATAAGTGTTTTATTCATTTTATATATAAACATTTCTATAAAGACTTTTTTTTATTGATATTATTTTGTAGAGACAATTGATTGAATGAAAGCATCTATCATTCATAAACAGACTAAAATACTTCATTGAAAACTAAATTCAAAAGATGACAATCGGTTAAATCTGATCTTACATTTATTATTGTTATAAAATATTTTTGTTTTAGCTTACGAAGAAATTTTTAGCAGATGTCAAATTTACTTTTCGAACGAGACAATGTTTATTTGATGAGTAATAGAAGAGTTTAGAACTGTTTGATTTTTCGGACCTTTATTCTCGAGATGGATTCTCATAGAAAAAACTTGAAGTTACTTTTTAGATCATGTGGAAAATCGACTTTTGACTTCAAACTTAATATGAATAAAGTTCTTGATGAGATTAATTCGCGGGATAAGTTGTAACTTTTCTAGTATTTCTCATCCGAAGATATAAAATATTCGAAATTTTTTCAGGCATACAAGCAATTTTTTTTTTTCGTAGATGTACATCTCTAGAAAGGAAATAGTAGTTGTACAATCAACTAATCTTATTAAGAACTTTGTTCGTGTAAAACTTGAAGTCGAAACTCGATTGTTCAGGCAACTTAAAGAGAACATAGGTACAACTTAAATTTATTAGATAAATATCAATTACTCATATCTTCAGTGATTCTATGAATGTTGTCAGCTTTTTAGTCCTATTGAACACTCAAGAAAATGTTCTCGTTCTCAATAATAATCTAACGAAATTGATTATTATTATTTTTCTATTAATCAGAAAAATTTTCTTCATCATGAATACCGGTGTAAAAATATGTAAGACGTATACGAATAGCTTTCAATCTTCGTTAGAAATGATAAATAAGAAAATCCTGATAATACCTATACATAGAGAGAAAAGGATAATGAATAGTAGGATTCTCTAAAACGTACATATTTATAACTGATCCATTCATTGAGAATATTTTCTAATTAGAATAAAATATCAAAACTTCCGGTAGTTCTATTCATAAACTTGTTTTTAATGATCGAATATTGGCAAACTTCAAATTATATGCGAAGCCATTGAACTTAGAAAAACTGGTCTGTACTCTTTAAAAAAGTGAGTGTCGTTCTACTATGCAATTAGTCAGTAATTGACCAGTGAAATGAATTCTTAGTGAAGATTTCTAAAAAATGATATTTTGAAGCTATTTCTCTTTCGATTTACGTAAAACCGAAATTTTTAGTTTGTCCCGTTCGAGAGTTATAAAGCTTTTTAGATTCAAAATAATCTCACTCTGTTATCTTAATATTTCTGAAATTCTACGAACAGTTTTTATGTAATAAAGAAGTCGACATTTCGGAAATATTGAAATAACAGAGTTAGATAATTTCAAAGCTAAAAACAGCTACCCTCATTCAATTTAGTATAGCGATTTATCTTTATCTAGATGCTTTTTCAAGTGTTCAAGATCAATTGACTGAAATCTGTAGCCTTAGAAAAAGTATTATAACTTTCGAAATGGACAAGCTAAGAATGTCAGTCGTATGTAAATCAAAAGAGAAATAGCTGTCAAATATCGTTTTTAAAAATCTCTTCCAATAACTCACTTAATTGGTCAATTGCTGATCAATGAAATTTCGATATACTCCGATGATTCTAGGTCTTCTTTCTCTTGAATGATGAAAATCACAAGTCTCTATGATGTTCCTATTAAAATTTATTTAAAAAATAGAAGAACACATTATATTTTGAACTGATTTTTCATTTTAAACGAAAATATCTTATCTATTTTAGGCATTCGAAAGCGTGTCAATGATCTATTAGCTTTTTGCAGTGATAAAATTGAAGATTATAAATTTAATATTGTTTGGGATACTCCCAAACAACCAGAAGCAGCTGATTCAGTTCGTAGTGGTGGTTCACATAATCCAAGTGTATCACCAAAAAATGGTATTCTTGGTTCAGTACCTGTACAATCACTTTTACCTAATGATATATGTCAAGTAAAAGCAATAAATGATTTATGTCAACCATTAATGATTACTGTTAAATTTAACCCATCATGGAATACTGTTAATAAACGAGGTTGGTGTCAACAAGCAACAACTTATTTTCGTTGTTTAAAATCTCGTCTTGATAAATGTCCACAACAAGATGTGCAAAATCAATTTCAACAACTTGAACATTATCTTCAATCACAAATAAATATTAACTGTCCAGGTGGTGTAGAAGGATGTACACGTCATTCACCAGATGCACGTTGTAAAATAGGTTTACTTCAATCGAATTCTAGTTCACCTATATTTTATCTTTGTTATTTTGTTGTTCAATCGGTATTACAAATACTACTACTCTTATTATTATTTTAAATAAAAAGAATCGATTTATGATATTAGTTTCATCATGTAAAGAGATAATCGAGAAAAAAGAAACGAAGAACGTGATATATCGATGAAGAATACTGATAGTAAAAGTTTTTTATTATTTGAGATAACTGTACAATATCTTTATTCAAAAAATTAATGTGATATTCTGAATTTGCATTCAAAACTGAGTCGATCTATGTAAGTTTCAAAATATTTTCATGAATCTTTTTTTTTTTGGGTCAAAAAATTCATCCCTGGCCTTTCTTTCAGGGATCAATCAAAAAATGAATTTCATCAAAAAGAAGAGTTTTTAAATAATTTTTTAATTCATTCTTGAGAGAAATTAGAGAGAATTCTTTTGAAGAAAACATACAAGCTTCATAAAAATACTTGAAACTCATATAGACTTGATCAGTTTTAAATGCTGAGTTAGAAATATCATATTAGTTCTGTTCAGGTTACACTTTTTCTAATCAAAGTGTACTAAATACTAGTCAAAAAAGCAAAGAATCATATCTCAAAACTAGTATTCTTAGAATTTTTCTCAGAAGCTAGTATTGTTTTTATGTCATTGTATAGCGCTTGAAAAGTTCTCTCGAACAATCTGAAAACTAGTCTAATGTACGTCAAGTCGATAGATAAAAGAAATCTGATTATCATCAACAGCCAGATTAAGTGTACATGTGACAATCATTGACTATTTCAACTGGTTTATGCACAAAACAAGCAAGTCCTATAGGGCTAATTCCACCAGAAATCAGTTTAAGATATCTTATGTGAGAGTTTGACATAGAACAAATCAAACTTCGCTAGGAGGTCGATTTCATCAGTTATCAATCAGCCTCGGTCAAACATATAATACTTGAGTTAAATAAATTTAATAAAAAAAAAAAAAAGATCTCTATTAAATATAAGTTCAACAAGTGTTTGCTAGAATACTAATGATCTTTATTCGCAAGTTTCGAAACAAAAAAAAAAGGATAAAATTATCGTGATCATTCATTGTTAATTTCCGGAACATTATAAGCATCAAAATTACTTAATGGTACAATATAATGAATTAATGGTGGTTTATAAATCTCCAAAAATGGATGAGCTTCTAGTTTATTTTTCTAGAAAAGAAAAAAAGAAACATGAATTACATTTTTTTTTAATTATTTTGATTAACAAAATTTACTCGAATATAATCTCCCACTCGATAAGGAACTCTCATAATTGCAATAAAAATAGATAAAATATTCTTAAATGGAAATGTTGTATAAACCGATTGATTTGGTTGTGGAAGTTTAAAAACTTTATAATTATTTTTTTGCATTTGTTTTATTAATTCTCGATCTTTTATTTCATTAACAATAGCACCAACAGCAAATCTTCGTTTTTCAACTGGTGTCTGTTTTTTAAAAGTGAAGAAAAAAAAATCGTATTCTTTTTACATATGTATATATATATATGTTGTAGGCAAAATTGGAATTCGGGCGAATTCGGAATTTGCCTAGGCAAAATTGGAATTCTAATTCTGCCCGGTCAAAATNAACCTCGCTTAGAACCTTGAAAAATTGTTTTCTATAGGTTTTACGACGTGCTCTTTCATTTGGACAGGTCAACAAATTTTTTAGTGAAAATAGTTTTTCGGTTGAAAAACCAAGATCTTTAAAAAATGGGTCTTTAAATCGAAAGCGGGCAAAAACCATTGTGATATTCGGAATCAGCACGTTCGATTACCTATTATCAACTGAGTTTCAGCTCAAAAGCGAGGAGGCAGTTGGTGGCCTTCCCTCGTAAGTTGTTTCTCCACAATGTTAAGAAAAATTGTTTTTTGTCAATTCTTTTTAGCATTGTGACCAATTGCTGTGGATCTTATATGATGACATATCGAATATCAATAACGTCTCGTTTTAGTATATGAACTACTTTCTCATCGTATATCTAGAGCATTAAGTAAAAGGATAGTGAAGAAATAAGTGCTAAAATTGATAGAATAAAATAATTATCTTGTGATTAGCAACATCCACTACATCATATTTCATATTTCAGTTCCACAAGGATTACACTAATAGTTTTTGTTTTTGTAAAATAATTATTAACTATCTTGTACCTAGGTATTACTCTATAGTCATCGTGGTATACCAAATGGTTATCGTTATATGAATGGTTATTCTGTTAATACGTATAAACTTATATCACGTGATGATGATATATCATATGTTCGTTTTCATATTAAATCAAATCAAGGTATAAGTTCAATAGATCCAACTAAAGCACTTGTACTTGCTGGTCTTGATAGTGATTATGCTACACGTGATCTATATAATACAATATGTATTAAAAAAGAATTACCATCATGGACTGTATGTATACAACAAATGAATGAGCAAGAAATGAAAAATTCTTCATTTGATCCATTTGATACAACAAAAATTTGGCCAAAAACTTATTATCCATTAATTGCATTAGGAACTATAACTTTAAATCGTTTACCAACAAATCATTTTTCTGAAATAGAACAATTAGCTTTTTCTCCAGCTAATCTTGTACCTGGTATTGAATTATCACAAGATAAAATGTTACAAGCACGTGTATTTGCTTATTCGGATGCACAACGTTATCGTCTAGGTAAAAATTATGCTCAAATACCTGTTAATCGTCCATTAAATTCAATAGCAAATAATTATCGTGATGGATATATGTGTTTAAATAATCAAAATGGTGCACCAAATTATTTTCCAAATAGTTTTCATGGTGCCACAACATCATATCGTTTTAAAGAAACAATTTATTCTGTTGAAGGTAATGTTGCACGTTATGAATGTTCAAACGAAAATGATGAATTTAGTCAAGCTAAAACATTTTATCGACAAATTTTAAGTCCAGATGAACGAATTAATTTAGCAAGAAATTTAGCTAAAAGTTTAGCATTAACACAACAATTTATTTGTAAAAGAGCATTAGAAAATTTTTCGAATGTTGATCAAGATTTAGTAAATGATATTCAACATTTTCTTAATTTACAACGACCAACTAAAATGGAAGATTCTAATATTCAAACAGATCTTGAACGAAAAATTTAATTGAAATATATTTAACATAGTAATTAAATATAATCATACAATTGACAAATTAAATTAAATATCTATCGTCTATGAACTTAAAATAAATATTGTCAGTTGTTTTACATGTTCATTTGACAGATACTTTTTTTGTAAAATAAAAAATTAGGTTTATTATTATATCATTGGAAAAAATAAATCATATAAGATTAGTCTGTAAACGCATACAGGTCAACATATATATTCGACTATATGAAACTAGAATTTGCATCAATGTATTATTGAAAAATTAAACTATTAATAACCAAAATACAAACATCGGGACCGGCTAAAAGCATTCACTTTATGAAGATGTTCATTATTGGAAAGTTTTCAGCTTCTGTTTTTTAATCAGAGGTAACACTTGGTAATACGACAGATGAGCTTCCCTGTATAAAGAACAGATTAAAAAAATAGAAGAAAATACTTTTATTCGAATAAATCTATATTCACATCAAAAACTGAACAGTGTTCTTGCTCGTTTAAAGTATAAGTCTTTTATCATTAAATGAAAAGTTAAAATTAGTTGTTGTAATTTTTCACCAAAAAAGTCATATATGGACTTATTCAAATAAAATTATTTTCATCAATTTCTTTATTATGTCAAGCTCAACTGTCGGTGCATCAAGTCAATCAACTCTTGTTAACACGATTTGATATTACTAGCTGTTAACATAAAAAAAGACGAAATATTACACCAAGAACGGTTGTTTTGTTTCCTTTAAATATACACATTTAGTCCATTCGCTTTTTTATGCGTGTGTTCCATGATTGTTTATCATAATGCAATATACATAACGTCATTTTTTTTTGCACTTCATACATGAGTGATAGAACATATGGTACTCACATTACAGAGATTGTTGTTAGTCATGAAAGCAAAAATAAGCGTCCATTGTTCAGAATAAGAAAGTACTTATATTTGAAAGAATCATTTCTAATAAATTCGCTTGGACAGATACTAGATCGTCTAGTGTAAGGAAATGCTCACATCGAAACATTTTTACTGTAAATCCATTCTTAATAATTAAAGAAAATCTTCATGAGATCTTTCTTCTGCCGATTTATTCACATCATGAAATATAAATATAATTGACTTGTTTATCTATTGTTGATATTCACTATCAAAAATTATCATAAAAGAACAATAAAAGCTATTTTTCTATGAATACTAAATAAAAACTATTACTTGCTTGAATAATATTTATTAATATGAATGAAATTTTTGTGTTACATTATCCTTTATGAAATATAACCATGCTATGAAAAAGAAAATCAAGAACTCATATTCCAATATTCTCTGAACTAATTCAAAATCTAATTTCATCAAAACATATATCTGTATAATGTTACTTTTTTTTTCTACTTTAATATTTCTAACTAAAACAAGACAAAGAAAAGAGAAATATGCAAGAGATAAATAAAGTAAGAAGAGTAGTGCACACACACACACACAAACAAACAATAAAAAACAAAAGGTGGTCTTGTATAGATTTTTCTCCTCATGATAGTTCACTTTAACAAAAAAAACAACTAACTACCTTTAAACATAAAATAACAAAGAAATATGGCCCGATTAAATTTGTCTTTCAAAAAACAAATAATAACAATATTAAGCTGAAAGAAAAGAGAAAACATAAACAAATAACCATGTATAGTTAAGAGTCGTCTAGTTCAAATACACTTGTCCAAATAAAAAAAAGATATTTTCTTCTTTTAAGACTAGAACAAAAAAAAGTTAAATGTTGAATATTAATTTATCGAAAGAGAAAAACAAAATGAAAATTATCGAAATAGGAAATTGATTATTTTTATAAGTCTTCTTTGTTTCTGTCTTGTTTAAATATTTTCTCGCAGACGCATTTTTCTTCCACGAAGAACTAAAAAAATAATATTTATGACATACAAAAATAACAATAAAATTTTTTTTTTAAATATATCTTTTTTTTACCTCTTGTTATATAAAGATAAAAAAAATCACAATAAAGAACTGTTTGAACAACGCCAGATACAATTGAAATCCAATCAAGAACATTTTCCATATGATAACGATAAATCCAATTAAGAATATAAAAAAATCGATAAATACCCAATGCAAATAAATAATGACTTGTTATTGTTTCAGCTTCACCTGTTTTACTAACCATATATAATTGAGGAAGTATAGCAACAGATTCAAGATAAATTGAAAATGTCCAAAGAATCTCAAAAAAAAATTCATATTAATAAAAAACAAAAACAAAATTCGACTTCTAAAATCTCTTACTTCAAGTACTGAAAAATCATGATTCCATATGAAAGCAAGTGCAAGTGTTGGTAATAATAATAATTCAATACGAAATGAATCATGATTACGGTCATATGTTGTTTTAAATTTTAAATAAATTAAATAAAGTGTAAATGTTGTTGATACAAGATAAATTACTTTCATTATCGAATTATAGAAACTAACATAATGCATAAATAAATCCAAATAACGACATACGAATACAACATCGTAAAGTAAAACACTTTTACCAGATACACCTGTGTTAAATATATATATACATATATAGTTAGAAAAAAGTCATATTAACATTTTTTTAAAAATTCATACCAGCGCATGAACGTGTTGTCCAGATCTTAAGTAATAAAACAATGATAGCTGCTAAATGAGAAAAGTCGCCTAATAAACGAAAGATATTCATCTTATGAACACAATTGAGAGTATTGGTGTGTTTATCCTAGACAACGTTTCAAATAAGGATGATAGGCATCAGATGTTTCAATGAATAATATATATAAAATAATCACTACTCAAAATCATTGGAAGTAGTACGTGGCTTTCAAAGTCATACTGGAGACCAATCAGAAAAAACTTTCTTAGATTTATTTTGACAATCTTGTGGAATTTTTTAATAGTTAATTCTTATATTAACTTTAATATGAATTCATATTTTTCGATTGAAATTCTATTCTATTTAATAAGATGGCGCTAGAAATCGAGCGATATTTCTTATGTTAAAATAGACAATCTGTACCAATATGGATTTTACTTCCTGCTGATTTTTCCTTCCTCTTCCATCTTTATCATTTCTCTATTATTCTTTTCTGCACTATATTTCTTTCATATATAAACGTGCGTTGTATGCGAAATAGCTCAATAAACATCATTCTGCTCAAGGTGACGGTAGGATACTCCTAGAATTTGTCATTACAAAATCGAATAAGCATTTGACTTAACCAATATAAACAGCTACGGTGAACTTCGATCATGGTTCATCATTGTCTTATTTTCTATTCTATCAATGGAATGGAGACTCAAAATTTCACTTTTAATTTAGAGTTAGACCTATGTAAATCTCGAAATATTCAATGACTTCGTTAGATGAAACAATATCGCAATATAAAACTATTTCAAGTACGAATGATTGTCTCCTATACAACAAGAATAACTCACAAAAAATTTGTTACGAAGTTCAACATATGTTTAGTAATTTCTTTTTACATTCCACAGTGTTTTAAAAATAAATATGATTATTACTACCAAACTAATGCTTCAACTTGATTAGTTGTTGAATGACTGGCATTAATATCACTGAAATAATTGTTTGATTTATGTTTCAGCTATTTGTTTTTTTATTGATATTTTCACACTTGCACTTGTTTCTTTTCAACACATTTTGAAGTATTCTATCATTAAAGCTGAATAAAATTCTATTTCTAGTTTTTTTTTGTAAAGCTTCTAATCATCTCATCTAATCTTATTTAACTGCTAATTTTGACAATTTTTATATGATTGGTTAAATAGTTTAACCAATGACATAGCTCTTATTTAAACAAACAAAAACCATGACAAACTCAGGTAAAAGTACATATAAAAATATATGTACATACATTCAATTGCGATTTCGAGTATAATAGATGAAAAAATAATTGAATAGTAGTTATATATTTCTATAGTTCTATATTCATAGTCAAACGACAAAATTATTCTCTCGTATTATTAAGTATATAAATGTATAGAATTCAATAGTTACCTTGATTCAATTTTTAAAGCAACTTACTATGCCGCAGATTTTCGATGATTCATTATCAACTAAATCTTTATATTCAGACGATCCTATCGATCGATATATTTTCGATCATTCGCTTCGTTATACACCTGAACAACTTGAACTTTTGGAAGATATTAAAAATTTACCAGGTATAAAAGTTTCTTAATTATTTATTAAAACAACATACCATCAAAATTTGCTTTATTTTCATACTAAAGAACATATTCAACCATGGTTAGGATCAACAGATGAAGCACAATTTTTTCAAATACTTATTCGACTTATGAATGGCAAACGAGCAAGTAAAATATTTTATATTCTTTTCATTCTATTCTATCCACATTCTCGCAAAAATAGATATGAGAAACATATTGATGATTTAAGTTAATTTATTCATTTAGATGCAACTTTACTCTTCATAAAAAACATTTTCTTTTCGTATGAATATAAATAATATGAACGAAATAAATTTAATTATTAATTAAATAGTAATTTGTATTATTTCGATGTTTGAATAAATAAGATGAGTTCGAAAAATTTCGTCTAGTTTCAAAACTCTACTTTGATGAGAAAACATTTTTCAAGTGTTAATAAAAAAAAAACAGTCTCAAGAAAATTTTTTTTTACAAGGATTACCTCGTAGTTTATGGACATTTATTGTCTTTCCTTTCCTTATAGACTTGTCAGAATTTATGATAAGGAAGCATACATTCCTATGCGATATTTTTCATCAAACTACTATTGAGTTCTGCTAATATTATGTGGAATGTTGTGTTCAAATAGTCCATACTTTCACGATTCTTTATTAAAAGAATGTATGCTATGGAAGTATATTCAAATCATTTGATGAAAAGTTCAAAAATTTTATTCAATTACTTTTTCTATTGTAGTCGAAATTGGAACATTTACTGGTTATACATCATTAACTATTGCTTTAGCACTTCCATCTGATGGTGAATTAATAACATGTGATATAAGTGATAAATATATTCGTCAAGACATATGGATTAAAGCTGGTGTTCGAAATAAAATTAATTTACAAATTCGACCAGCTTTAGAAACTCTGAATGATTTACTTGAAAAGTATGGTCCAAATTCATTTGATTTCATTTTTATTGATGGTGATAAAGAAAATTATATTCAATATTATGAATTATCACTTCAATTAATACATCCAAATGGTTTAATTGCAATTGATAATACTTTATGGAATGGATGGGTATTAGATGAAACTGATACATCAATTGAAACAATAACAATACGCCAAATAAATGAACTTATTAAGAATGATAATCGTGTTGATATTAGTTTTTTAAGATTAGGCGATGGAACAACATTTTGTAGAAAAAAATAAAACAATATAATTACATATATAATTCGATATTTTTCTTGTGTTTTTTTTTTTTCTTATAGATTTTGCTTTTGTTTTTCGAAGTAGACATCAATTATGTCATGTTACTTCTTATTTTTTTTATTAGTTATTATTCACGAATGTTTTTCTTCGATACATATTTCTCCGACCCGTAATCAATTGCAATATAGTTTTATAAGAACACATTCTGATAAGATAAATGAACGTTTTAAAAGACGTACAACGCTAGATATATTTCAAATTCATATTCATTATGATACAAGTGTTAAAAAGTAAAGATGATCTTTTTTTTTTTTGTTTCTTTTAATTATTTATATAAACCTTGTTTGATATAGATTATTAAAAGATGAACAAAGATTAATTAAAGAAGCTGCTGAAGCTGCAACTAATTATTGGAGTAAAACTATTCGACCGAAATATAAATTAAATAATCGAATACGGTTAACAAGGTATTGATAAAAAGAAAGGCTATGAACTCTCATATATTGACCACAAATACAGTATTGTTGAACTCTGATCACTAGAGCTAGAGAAGGTCAATATCGATTTTTTTTCCTTTAGACAAGCCTATATTATCATAAGAAAGTAAATCTCATCTCGTTAGACTCTTCATTCGATAGTAGCTTAGTGTTGTCGGTAGCATTAATAAAAATTTCATGTCGAGCAATTTTAGTTGGCTTAATGTATCAGGTAATCTCTAAATGTTAACTGTTTGTCTTAGAATTTTCTTCAGTGAGTACCAATGCTCTAATCAAGTTTTTCTTGAAAATTTCACTATTGCATTGATCAATGGAGAAGAAATCGATGTTGAAACCGTCGTAGACTACGAATGTTTCCCACACGTCTCAAGAGTTAACGCATTTAAATAATGGAAAATCAGAGAAATGTCAAAAAAAGACTTTTTTGCGTCCTAGGGAAAAAAACTTGTGTTTTCATCGTAAATCATTTGCATCAAGACCTATGGAGCTCGAGTTACTGCTTGTGATCAGAGTCTATCGAGCTTTATTCGCAGTCAAAATAACAGGCAAAAGGAGTGAAGGTTTTACTTGATAGTGGAACTTCATGCGACTACTGTATTTAATTTTATTTCTTTTTTATTAATAGACAATGTCCATCAAGAAAAATGTTTATTGTTGAAAATGATTATTCTATACATTATTGTTCAGAAAAATGTTTAGATGAAACACATTGTGGTGATATTATTGTACCTGAAGAACATTTGCAACAATGTCATGTTTGCAACAATGCTAAAAAATGTGAACGTATTGGTACAAAAGGTTATGGTGTTAATGCTGAATTTATTTTGTATGTATCAGCACTTGAAACAAATCGATGTGAACCAGTTGATACATTGGCTACAGCATCTTTTTGTCAATTAGAATCTGAACAAGATAGGTAAATAGAATAAAATTAAGATGTTTAATGATTGACTGATAAAGATTGATTTAAATTAGATAATAATTTGATGTCAAGAACGAAATCAGTTCGATTCAATAGAATCAAACTTCATCAATTTACATATCTTTTTTAGAATGCTTAGGAAAGCATGATGATAGTATTGGTCGATCAAGTTTAATCTTAATGTGTGCATAATTGTATAGTTTATAGTACATGTGAATGTCACTTATCTATGAAAAGCCCGCTTGAATTCTAATGAAACATATGTATAGCATGGAAGATAACCTTCATTTTTTTTAAAATTTGGTTTAGTAAAGATTATTTATATGTTATATTAGTTAATGCGATTGATAGCTCCCTGTTGCATCTCTCTTAATTAACTATAAAGGATCGTCCAAAATTTATCTATTTTGATAGCATATAATAGATTTGATCTATCAAAACACGAGCTATACTTTTGAAGAGTCAGCCTTTATCGTAGCTGCTCGTGCGCCCTTATCTTCGTTTTCTCTTTCATCCCCACCTAGATATGCACCCACAGCTTAGTTCTTTTTATTTGATAGCAAGAGCCATATATCCCCCCGGTCATGAAAAACCGAAAAGCTTGTTTCTTTGATTTCTCTATGATGGAACATCTTTTAGGTCCCATATTTATACCACAGATAGACCTTGCGTTACTCTATCTGCTGGCAAAGTTTCAGCGAT